GATCAGGGGGTGGAGCCACTGGCTATTTGAGAAACTTTCACAACAACCCGAACTGCCATTTGCAATAACTCGAACTCGGAGGAGCGACTGGACCCATTATTAAGATTTTAAAAACAATAATGACAACATTGTGGTCTAATGCTGAAATGCAGGAGGATCCTCCGAGCTGCCGATACACAGGAGCGTGCGAGGTTGAAGCCAGAGCCCAAGCCCCAGGAGGCAGGAGCAGACCGGGACGGGTCAGGGACAGAAGGTGGAAACGATTTTTCAAAACACTTTATGTATAAATTATTTTTTTTTTTTAATCAGTGAAGATAAAAAATAAAATAAAATGTGCCAGCTTCATCATGAAATCTTGTTTTCAATTTAACATAGTCCTTCCAGCGTGTCCTGGGTCTTCCTCTGGGTCTCCTCCCGGTGGGACGTGCCCGGAAAACCCCACCAGGGAGGCGTCCAGGAGGCATCCTAACCAGATGCCCGAGCCACCTCAACTGGCTCCTCTCGATGTGGAGAAGCAGCGGCTCTACTCTGAGTCCCTCCCAGGTGACCAAGCTTCTCACCCTATCTCTAAGGGAGAGCCCAGACACCCTGTGGAGAAAACTCATTCGGCCGCCTGTATCCGTGATCTCGTTCTTTTGGTCACAACCCAAAGCTCATGACCATAGATGAGGGTAGGAACGTAGATCGACCAATAAATTGAGAGCTTCGTCTTTTGACTCAGCTCTCTCTTCACCATAACAGACCTGTACAGCGCCCGCTTCACTGCAGATGCTGCACCTATCCGCCTATCGATCTCATGTTCCATTTTTCCCTCATTCATGAACAAGACCTCAAGATACTTGAACTCCTCCGCCTGGGGCAGGACCTCCTCCCCAACCAGGAGAGGGAACTCTACCCTTTTCCAGCTCAAGACCATGGCCTCAGATTTGGAGGAACTGATCCTCATCCCGGCCACGTCACACTTGGCTGCAAACCGCTCCAGCGAACGCTGTAGATCACAACGTGATGAAGCCAATAGAACCACATCATCTGCAAAAAACAGAGAAGTAATCCTAAGGCCACCCAAACGGATCCCCTCAACACTTTGGCTGCGCCTAGAAATTCTGTTCATAAAAGTTATGAACAGAATCGGTGACAAAGGACAACCTTGGCGGAGTCCAACTCTCACTGGGAATGAGACCGACTTACTGCCGACAATAAGGACCAAGCTCTGACACCGGTCGTACAGGGACCTAACAGCCTGTATCAAAGGGCCTGGTACCCCATACTCCCGTAGTACCCCCACAGGGCTCCCCGAGGGACGTGGTCGAATGCCTTTTCCAAGTCCACAAGCACATGTAGACTAATTGGGCAAACTTCCACACACCCTCCAGGACTCTGCTGAGGGTGTAGAGCTGGTTCAGTGTTCCACGACCAGGACAAAAACCACACTGCTCCTCCTGAATCCAAGGTTCGACTATCTGACGGACCCTCCTCTCCAGAAGCCCTGAATAGACCTTACCAGGGAGGCTTAAGAGCGTGATCCACCTGTAGTTGGAACACACTCTATGGTCCCCCTTTCTGAATAGGGGGACCACCACCCCAGTCTGCAAATCCAGGGGAACTGCCCCCGATGTCCATGCAATATTGCAGAGTCGTGTAAGCCAACAAAACCTCACAACATCCAGAGCCTTTAAGAACTCTGGGCGAATCTTATCCACCCCTGGGGCCTTGCCACCGAGGAGCTTTTTAACTAACTTGGTGACCTCAGCAGAGATTGGAGAACCTAACCCAAAGTCCCCAGGCTCCGCTTCCTCAGTGGAAGACGTGCCGGTGGGATTGAGGAGGTCTTCGAAGTACTCTGCCCACCGACCCATGACATCCCGAGTTGAGGTCAGCAGCATATCACCTCCACTAAAAATAGTGTTGGTGAGTCCGACTATTTCTAGCCGGAACCTGTCAACCTCACACACCAGCTCAGGCTCCTTCCCCACCAGAGAGGTGACATTCCACGTCCCAATAGCCAGCTTCTGTAGCTGAGGATCAGACCGCCAGGGTCCCCGCCCTCAGCCACCACCCATTCCACATTGCACCCGACCCCTTTGGCCCCTCCCATAGGTGGTGAGCCCATGGGAAAGGGGACCCATATCTCCTATTCGGGCTGTACCCAGCCGGGCCCCATGGGTAAAATCCCAGCCACCAGGCGCTCGCCAGCGTGCCCCACCTCCAGGCCCGGCTCCAGAGTGGGGCCCCGGTGACCCACGTCCGGGCGAGGGAACATTGATTCCATTTGTTTTGCTCATCATTTCAATTTAATTACTTTTTAAAATAATCTATTAATTAAAAGTTAACTCAGCTGAAAAAAATCATAAAAAGACACAAAATTATTGGATCTCTCAGGAATATTTCCCTCAAATATTTTTTAAGAGCTACAGCCTTTAGTTCAACGTTATTCTAACCCACAGATGTACAGATCACAAACAAGAATTAAATTTTAAAGCAAAGCTAAAATAAAAAAAATAAAATAAAAAATCTGTATACAATAAACAAAATAACATCTAAATTGAACAATAAAAGTACACAATGAATGCAAATACAACGAATGATGAAGAAAACCTATAAAATTTTAAATATAGATGGTTTTGTAGAATCTGGTTCATCAGAGTTTTAAGGGTGAACTAAAGTTCATTAAAAGTTCATTAGCATGATTTATATTGTTTAATTTGATCATTTTAATAATCTATGCTTTTTAATTTACCAGAAACTTCAAAATAAATTCTCACCCTGTACTGAAACCTGTTTCTGGGTTTTACCACCAGCATTACCGCCACCAGCTGGTAAGGCACGTGGCATAAATTTTTTAACTCTGAATCCACCCACTAGAGCCGTTATAGAGTGTAATGGAAAACCAGCTGTACTGTGCTGTACTGTGCTATGCTGTGCCGGCACAGTGGAAAAGAGGCATTAGTCTGATGAAGAATCTGGGCAATAGTTGAATGCTCAGTCTCTCCCATCTCACCTGCTGAAGCTTGTAACTTCTTTAGTGGTCATAGGCATCTTAGTCTCTACTATTCTCCTTACCATCTTCTTACGAACTCTTGGAAGTCTCAAATATAACACATTAAAAAGTCTAAGAAAATTGTGGCGGAAGAAAAATTAAAAACATGGTGTGTACATGATAATGGGGTCTTGTGATTCATGCATATTCTGACCCAAGAGCCTTTCAGGAAGCGTCCATGACCCGAACTTGCACAAACCCCAGAACCCTTCAGCTAAAGAATAGCTTTCATGTCTGGTGCTTGCTTGATTCATTAGTTCTACAGCCAAAATAGAATTATGATGCAGCAGTGAAAATAATAAGTCCTTATTTGCAGGTAATCAAAACATAATTTTTCATTTACAAATATGAATTGTTCCTTTGTAATCAGTCAAAGCACATTATTTTGCATCCACATAAGTCTTATGAGTAGGCGTTCAATTTTGTGAACTTTCATGTGTGTCTGTAGTTTGTTTAATATTCACTGCTAAACTCTCATTGGAAATGACTGCTTTGATTTCTGTGTGGCTTCTCATGTGCCTGTTTACATTTGACCTATGTCTGAATTTTTGACCACAAACCTCACAAACAAACGGTTGAAGCCCAGTGTGAATTCTCATATGCGTGTCTAAACTTGCCTTATGCCGAAATCTTTGTTTACAAAGATCACAAACAAATGGTTTCTCTCCAGTGTGAATTCTTATGTGTCTGTTTAAACTTGTCTTTTGGGTAAAATGTTTTCCACAAATGTCACAAACCAATAGATTCTCTCCTGTGTGGATTTTCATGTGTCGGTTTAAACTTGTCTTCAGGGTAAAACTTTGTCCACAAACATCACAGTTAAATGGAGTCTCGACTGTGTTGGTTCTCCGATTCCTTTTTAAATTTGTCTCGCTAACACTACAAACAAGGGGTTTAAGTTCTGTGTGGCTTGTCTTGTGAAAGTTAAAACTTGTCTCATCATTAAAAATTTGCCCACAAACAAGACAGCAAAATATTTTCAGTTTATCATGGTTTTTCATGTGTGAGTTCAAACTAGTCTTATGGCGAAATCTCTTTTCACAGAGATCACAAGCAAATGGTTTCTCTCCTGTGTGAATTAGTATGTGTGCTTTTAAATGTGCCTTAAGAACAAATTTTCGGTCACAAAAATCACAACAGAATGGTTTAAGTCCTGTGTGGATTTGAATGTGTCTGTTTAAATGTGTCATGTTGATAAATTTTTGTCCACACACGTCACAACCATAAGGTTTATGTCCTGTGTGGATTTTCATGTGTCTGTTTAAACCAGTCTTATCAACAAAACTATGTCCACAAACACCACAAGCAAATGGTTTTTGTCCTGTGTGGAATCTTGTGTGACTGGTTAAACCAGACTTATCCATAAAACTGCGTCCACAAACACCACATACATATGGTTTTTCACCAGTGTGAATTCTCATGTGTCTGTTTAAATGTGTCTTTCGACTAAATCCACTTGCGCAAACACCACAAACAAATGGTTTAAGACCTGTGTGGATTCTCTTGTGTGAGTAGAAACTGATTCTGTTGCTAAATCTTTGTCCACAAACAGCACAAAAAAATGGCTTTTCTCCTGTGTGAATTCTCACGTGTCTATTTAAACTTGACTTTCGCCTAAATGTTTGTCCACACTGATCACAAGCAAATGGTTTCTCTCCTGTGTGAATGGTCATGTGTGATTTGAAATGTGACATATGATTAAATGTACGTCCACAAAAAGAACAACAAAAAGGTTTATTTCCTGTGTGGATTCTCATGTGTGTGTTTAAATCTGCTTTTCTGTGAAATCTTTTGTCACAGCTGTCACACCTAAATGATTTCTGTTTTGTCTGGACTTTTCTGCATGATTCTAGATCTTTTTTTTCTTTCACAAATTTCTTATTAGCAAAACAACTTGAAGACGTCATTTCTGAATGCCTCATCATGTGTCTCTGCAGAGACCACTTGTTAACACACTGCTTACCACATTCAGAGCAGCTCAAAGGTTTGTTGGCAGTATTTACACCTGACTCAGGAGCCCTGCTCTCCTTCCAGTCATTGTTGCTGTCTTCACTTTCTGACCCAGAGTTTGACAAGTGTTTCAGCTGAGAGTCAGGATTGTTTACATCATCTTCCTCTTCATCATCCTCACTGACTTCAGTTTCTGAAGAGCTGGAATCATCTTCATGAATATTTAAGTTTGGGTTCCTGGTAGTTTCTCCTCCTCCACAGTCCTCGTCGCCACCAGCTGCTGCCAAATGGTCAGGTGAGCTGCTGCTTGGAAGATCTCTGCTCTCCACTTGGTGCTGATGAAGCTGTGAGAACAGAGGTTTCTCTTCATCATCTTCATTCTTCAAAGGAACAGCAGTGAATGTAAACTTGGTGACATCAGCCTCCTCCTTCACATTGAGCTGCTCTCCCTCCAGACTTGTCCACAGTTCCTCCTCTTCCTCCTTGATTGTGATTTGCTCTGAGTTCAGCTGGTCCACACCAGGCCTCCATTCTTCAGAAGCTTCTTCTTTAATAGGAACCATTTCCTGAACATCTGCAGGGACCACTGAAACACATGCACATTAAGGACAATGTTAGCTTTATACTCACACACACACACATCACACTGAACACTTATGCCCCTTTTCCATTAGTACCGGTACGGGCCGACTGTACCCTACTTGGCCCGGTTCTGAGGCTTTTCCATTAGTACCGGTACTTAGCACCTGTTACTATTTTCAGTATCCTTGGCTCTGTAGTTCTAACCGGAACGAAGAGGTACTAAAACGTGACGTCAGAACACTGTCGGTCACTGATTGGTCAGGGGCAGAGTCACTGGATCCTTCAGAAACTTTTCAAAACAATAATCCGCCATTTGCAATTTCTCGGACTGGAGCAGCCTGGACTTATTTTAAAGATTTTAAAAACAATACTGACAACATCTTGGTCTAATGCTGATGTGCTGGCATTTTTTGTGCTTGGTGGCCGACAACATAATTCAGAGCAAGCTGGATGGAGCTCTGCTGGGCTACCCCGATCCTCCCTCCGGTGCCTCGGAGCGCCAGGCCGGGCAGGGCGTCATCTCCCCGGCTCCAAGTTCAGTTGGTCACCGCGGAAGATCCTTCGATGTGCCGACTCGGAGGCTCGGGTTTCGGATACCAGCCTTGTGTGCTCAGAGCTCTGCTGGTCACTGCGAAGCTGGAGATGGGGACTCGCAGATGGACGTTGCCAGACCCCGGCCGCGCGTAATCATGAAGGCTGAATCCCGATCCCACCCGGCAGTCAGGCGGACTGGACAGTCTGGGACGGACGCTGGAAGCGATTTTTAAATAGAATAATATTTTGTTTTTATACAAAAAATGTTTTAAAAAATTGCTGAAGCGATTTAAAAATTATTATTATTTTTTTTTTTTACACGTAAAATGTTTTTTAAAATCGCTTCCACCGTTCGTCGCAGACCCGTCTCTGTCCGCCTGTCTGCGCGGGTCGGGCCTTCATGATTACGCGCGGCTGGGGTCTTGGAACGGCCTCTGTGAGTGACCAGCTGAGCTGGAGCTGGGAGGATGAGCCTCCTCCTCTCCGGAGGAGAGGATCGTGTGACTGCGGGCAGTGTCGTGCGAGACCAGCAGAGCGTTGAAGATTTAAAAAAAAAAAAAAAAAAGACTGTGCCAGCTTCATCGTGAAATCCTGTTTTCACTTTAATGACTGTTAACTCAGCTGAAAATCATAAAAAGACACAAAACTATTGGATCTCAGGAATATTTCCCTCAAACATGTTTAAAGAAAAGAGACGACCTTCAGTTCAACTTTATTTTAACACACAAATGTACAAATCACAAAAGAAGAACTTTAAAGCAAAGCTAAAAATAAAATGTATATATGTGAACAAGAAAGAAAACCACACGTTTAAAATGAACATCAAAAGTAGACAATGAGTGCAAATACATCAAATGATGATGAAAACCTATAAAAATTTAAATCTAATGTTTTTGTAGAATCTGGTTCATCAGAATTTTAATTTATATATATATATTTATATCTATAAATATATATAGATAAATACATATATGTATATATATAAATACATATCTATGTATATAAATATATATGAATATATATAAATACATATATATGTATATAAATACATATGTGTGATATATATATAT